TTAAGTTTTCTCTTGTAGCATTTTTTTCTTTACTTCTTTTTTTTACTATCTGTAAATATATGACTGACTGTGAGAGCTTGATAAATATGCTGTTAACTAATTTTTGCTGTTGCCATGTAAACCAATATAGTTTATTGAGTAATTTTGAAATGTTATATTCATAATGTCATTATGGATTCTTTTTTTTTTTTTAATAATGGTTTTAGAAGGAAATATGGATAAATTCTCTGTCCTGTGTCAGAAAAACATAAAATTTGAGTTTATTATTTAAAAGGCACCAAGTTGAATAAATTGCACCTATAGATATTGAAACATGACTATAATTTGTTATTAATGCATTCTTAGTATCATTGTTCATCATAATAGTATTTACATCACCAAGTTCATGTAGAACTTGAACATTGTAACAATAGAGATTGAGAAGAAACTGATTTATAATTAACTCTTTGACAGAGAATGATGTTTTTACTTTTATACTTCTCTATAGATGTACATGTTCCCTAATTTTAAGGAAGGAACAAGTCAGTTATAAGATAGTTTACAGAAATCAAGAATGAATTGAGTAATTTAGTTTTCTTTTTAAAGCTGGGGAGAAATGAGCAAAATCAAGGAGAAATACCTTTCTTTTGATATTTATTACGATGTTATGACACTCCCTTTAATCAGTGTTTTTTTTAATATGGGTGGCAGTATCTCAGTTAATCTAATACAGTAGTAGATTTTTGTATTGTGTATACTAAACACTATATCCTAATTGTTGCCAACAAAATAAGAAAAGTACCTAATGAGCTAAAATGCCCTTCTATATTGATTTACCTCCAATTCAGTCACCCTTGACTGTATCTCCACAAATTCAGTTGGAGAGCTGGAGAAATTACAGAGAAGGCCAGGGTTTTAAATCTTGTTTTTTAAAGTTATGTTTGATCATGATGAATCTGGATCATTTATTTAATGGTAAAATCATCTGACTTCTCACTTCTCCCTTCAGTTCAAATTATTTAAGTAATGGATTTATTTTTCTATGGAGGGACATTTGGTATTTTGGTAATGAGAGTGTATTATTTTGGTTGCATATAATTTGAAAAATGATAGCATTTTATGGCACATATCAAGTAAGCCAGGCAGACAGCTTGCATTTTTGATCATTCCTTTTTTTTTTTTTTTGGTGGCTACATATTTTCTGTATTCTCAGATATGTAGGTAAAGATGGTGTCATCTATAGTGGCCATTTTTGTTATCTAAACAAACTTAACATCTGTTGGATTGAAAAACTATGCTATGATCGACTGCTTTGTGTGTTTTTTAAAAAATCCCTTAAGATTCTTTTCTATAATTAGTTTTCTTTGAAGAAGCTTGGAAAGTTTTCTGCATTGAGATTTAAAATCCACAGTGTTTCTGTAATTTAACTTTCCAGGAATTTTGAATTTTAATTTTTGTTTTTACTTTTTATGTACACAGTATAATGATGTTAGTGTTAAATATTAAAAATCTGACTCCTCACTGAGACTTTCTTATAGATACAAATGTATCTGTGGTAGTACAAGTACTTTGTTACTTCGGTGTGTAGTCTTACCATTGAGGAGTTGTGTATGTGTTTTGCATACAACTTTAATACACAGTTTCATAGTTGAAAGCTGTTACAAAATTAAAGTTTTGTGTATGGTAGGATATCTTCAAGGTGGGTGGATGTTTTCTGTTTAAAATATTAAGATTCCAATAGCATTTTTTTCTTTTAATTTTTTCATCAAGCACCCAATCAGCTTGAAGAGTTTCAAAGGACCCTACCACTGAGAAATCAAGATGGCAGTCTACTATGGGGAATTGAGGAAACTGGATTAAATCAAGAGTCCTGTGATAATAGACAACCAAGACAGGGTTCTTTTAATATGGATTCCATGCAGTGAATGAAGACATAGGTTTCTTACCCAACACAAATGGACAGTGGATTTGACTTTCTAAAGACTTTTTTGTGGACATTTTCACATTTGGAGAAGAAAGATGGCACACTAACACAGATAATAGTTTTTACACCTGAAATTTTTTGCAGTTTGATTTGTATGAGTATGAGCTCTTGTAATGTTAACTTTTAATAAAGTTTATAACACTTTACAATTTCTCAGTTTGGGGTTTTTTTTTTAAGTGGAAGTTTCATTAAATGTTGTTATTTTAGTAACACTTTGACATTTACAGTTGCCCAGTGGTAAAGTGTACTGAATAAAGCTGGTAAATTGGAAATGGTGTAATAGAAAATATTTTACTTTGTTTATGAAGATGTATCGTTTTTTACAAAGTTGTGCTCTTAGATGGTCATTTGGTTTAAATACTGTTTGGTTTGTGCTTTCATGAAACACCTTTCAAAATAACTTAATGGGTGATAATAGAATCTGATTTTAATCTGCCACAAGATTTTAATGAACTTTTGAAACAAACTGCTTGTTGCCCCAAAATTCAGGATGAGTGATACACATATACTTCTGAACTATTTGTATTGATTGAAATGGTGTCTTAAGCTTTTTAAATTATAAATAAAACATCTTGCTATAGAATATTCATCTGAATGTTTAAACTCATGTCTCCTATTGTCTTACTATTAGAAGAAGAAGTGTTGGATTTATGGGTTAGGATCCTTGGAGTATTCACAGTTTTTTAAAGTTGAAATAATGTATGTGTGTAATCCATTTTATATAACTTTGAAATAGTACTGTTAGCTTCTATTGTCTTTATTTTGTACAGTTGGGAATTTAGAATAAATGAGTTGCACCATGTCATAGATTACTTAGGTTTGAATTTTAAATGCCAGGTTTTCATTTATTACTAATCAACTGATACAAGTTTCAGTAACTCCTGCAAAGGTGGTAGGCATTATTTTGATAGAGAAAATGAATTGTTGATTGTTTCCCCATTTTACATGAGAACAAGAAATAGTTTAGGTTAAGTTGTTTTGTGTTAATACTGTGATTAATGTCAAATACTGCATCATACACATCTGTGGTTAGTACAGGTGCACCATTTGTTATTGACTGATTTGAGGTGGTTGATCTTTGTTAAATTCGAAAGTGGAATTTTGGATTTTGATCTTGGTACAGAATTTATCTCTATAGAAAGTATGGAATTGAAACAGTTTGGATTATGGATTTTATCTAGATTGGACATTGTTGTTTTTGTTTGGTGTAATTCAAAGTGGATTTCTTCAGGGAGGGAGGGACATGGTTCTGGCAGATTATGTTGAATAAGCAAAGTTGATTGGATTTTATTTGGGTGTGTGAAGATGCTTGTTTGCACGGAGTGGTTGGTGAGAATATTGCTTTTGGAATTAGTAATAATTTTGTTTCTGCGGATCTCATGGTTTTATTTGGGAAAATTTGCTTTGTGACATTACTTTGATAATTTGCCATCAGCTATGTCCTATTATGGTTAACTTACCACTGTTGAAATGGGTGTAAACTTAGAATTTGATTTGAAATGGAAGGGAAGTGTTGGGATATGTGTTTTCTGTTGGATTTAGAGGTGGAGTTTTTCGGGTTACTGATTTAAAGGTGATCGTGGTTGGCCTATATTCTTGAATTTAAAGAACTTTGTTTTGCCTTAATCAGTGTGGGAAGTAAATGCATTCTGATTATGAAAAGTCTTTTTGGTGGGGGGGAGGAGTGTAATGTTTTAAAGATTATGCAATGGGTTAAAGAATTTTGTGAAAATACAAAGAAAAATGGATATTCTTGAATAAAATTTGGTTTCATTAACTTTTGCTCTGATGCAACCAAACACTAGGGAGGCGCTCTTGAGTTGTAAAAATTACCCCTTTCTTCCATTTGGGATGGAAAATTCCCCCTTCAATTTTGTCTTTAGATGATTTTTAGGCATCATAAAGAAGGAAAATCTTGAATTTAGTTTATGAAATTAAGGTTTTACTTTTATTTAGAAACCATTTTACCCATTGGGGGGTTAATTTTTAAAAAGATTAGTACTTAAGCTGATCTTTAGATTCTCTAAGAATTATCCCTTTTTCAAAATGGCTTGATAAAACACCACTTCCTGTCCAGGGAGGAAGTTATTTTAGCTCAAGGACTGAAATATTTAGCAGATCTTTAGACAAAAGGAACAAATTACATTTCTCTCTGGCTTAAAAAGGGTGCTTGAGCCAGAGGGGGTTAAGAAGCCCTTCCCCCTCCCCCTATTGGGGTGGTCTGGAGGGGCTGGGAGGTGTGGGGGTGGGGGTCCTTAGGCTTCCTGGGATGGAGGATCTCTCTCTCTCTCTCTCTCTCTTTTTTTTTTTTTTTGGTGGAGATGAAGGGGTGGGTCTATGGTACATCACCTGAGTTGTGGGGTAAATGTAGAGAGTGTCAATCAAAGGCAGAGCTCTCAGAGCTGGGAAGGAGGCTCTAGATGGCGGCTGTGCCTTAGAGAGAGCGCGCTCTGCTCCCTGCCTTTGCCTCACTTTACGCAACTTTCCCTAACTTTCGGGCAGCCTCAGGGGGCCCCCGCAGCCCCCTGGCTTTCCTAGTGACTTACTGGGGTCGATTCGAACCTTTTTTTGGGAGAAAAGCAGCTTTTAGGAGCTTTCTTTTCGTGCCTTGTTGGAAAGAAGCAGCCGTACTGAGAGCCCAGGTCGTTGTTTTTTCCAGCTTAGAAGCCATGGCGCACCTCCATTTTTGTGCGCTCTCCTAATGAGGTTTTTTTTCTTTCGGACCCGTTTTAGTATTAATTATTGCTTTAATTTTTTGATCAGTTCACATATTTGAGGGTTATTTTATTTATTTTTTGTTTTTTTAACGGACGATTTTGCCTTTATTTTTAATTATTTGGGATCTGATATTTTTCTACTAGTAGGACTCTTGCTTTGGACATACTACATGGATCAGGTAAGTTCACGATCATTGGTGATAATTTTAAAGATTTATTTGTAAAAGTTTGCTTTGTTTTCTGTAAATATGAGAAATTCTTGGATGACGCAATAAGATACAGAGATTGTTATTTGTATCTAGTGTGCTACTTTGAGAAACTTTCCTTATTGATAGTGATGCTTCCACTGTTCGGTTTATCATGTTGTTTTTCTTTTAAGGAAAAAATAGAAATATTTTGTTTTTTAGTGCTTACCGTTGTTGTATTATAACAATATCGTTAACATCGTCAGGACTTTGTTCCTGATAATAAAAAGCATCGATAGAAGCCGGGACCTTACCTTTCTTTCAACTTTTGACAGTAAATACCTGGGCACAGGACTTCAAAGCAAACACAGATTCCCCCTCCCCCTTAATATTTAAGAATTAAAAGATGATGAGAAATAAGGACAAAAGCCAAGAGGAGGACAGTTCGCTACACAGCAATGCATCGAGGTATGAGCTATCAACTTTCTTCCTTTTTGTCTCTTTTTCGGGGGGAAACCTTAGCTTACAATTGTTTACCTTGACAGACACGGATTGGTGTCTGTTTTATTGTAAGTGTTTTTCTAATTTGGATTCGTTTTTTTAAAGCATGACCTTGAGATTGCTAATATGCCACACCCTAATTTTTTGGTAGCAATTTATGAAAGTTGAGTTGTGACTTAAGGCCTCTTACAGCAGTCAAAAGGTAAGGTACCTTTATGCAAAGGGGCCTTTCCTGTAATGTACAGTTTTTCTGTCAGTAAATTTCAGTTTTTAGGGTTTTGTACTGCAGAAAAATGACCTTGTCGGTTTAGCCATTGCTGCATTGCACCATTTTACATACAAGGCAAATTTTTTCTTTGAAGAATCTAGGATATCTAAACTTGTAACTGAGGGCCATAGAGAAGCCTTGTAGTAGTAAATTATAGTAAATAGACATTTCAGAAAGTTATATGAATGAAAAAATGTACATTTAAAAACAAAATCACAAAAAGGACCCTTTGACTGATGCCTCTCAGTTTATATTTTTATGTGACTCTATATTTGTTTTGATACACTTGACATTTTAGGAAATTTTGATATGATTTATTAAAACCTTTACTTTTGATGGTTAGAGTTCCTGCATTTATGAAATCAAATCTGTAATAACAGAAATTCTGGAATACTCTTAATATACTTACAATTGTGTTTGTTATTGTGATATTTACAATTGTATATTTTACATTTAAATTATTTTAAGGTTTGCATTTGTATGCTTAAGAGACTGATTTCTTGTTGGTAGATGCATTTTATCCTCACATTTTAGATGTAGCTGCTTTAAATTTATTGATGTATTTCGACAGAGTCGTCTGGAATGCTTTATCTTCTGAAGCTTATAGATGTACTGTTTGTGCAAATCATGATTTGTTTCACATTCCTTGGAGTACCTTAGTGATGAAGTAATAAAGCCTCTAAGATGTTTTTTGTTGTATGACCTCTGTATATTAATTTATATTAATTTTAAAAAGTACCTATGAATGCATTTTTTGATGTATGTTCTTAAGGCATTTTCATATTACAAATTTTAAGTCATGCAGTTTAACAAGGATGTGATTCCTCCCCAATTTTATTTTTACTTTTCTGATTTTTATAAATAATACACTTTACTGTTCGGCTAGTGAATTTGAAAATTTTGAACACGACATATTGCTAATATGCTGAATTCTATTTATTTTGACTAAAAACATATTGAGCCTTACTTTAGAAAATAAGTTACCACAGTTTTTTGCAAAATGAGTTGTTACTCAGTTGTTTGTAGTGCTGTCTTAATTGAATTGCCCATATAATTACTAGATTAAACTGAGGACAGAAAACTTTACTCATCCTAAATTGATTTTCTGGAAAGTAATGCCAATTTGAAGAAGTGAGAACCTCCAGATATATCTGGCAAATTATTAAAGATTCAGCACTAAAATTGTTGCTCCCTTGAGTGTATCATTTGCATAGGTCTCACATGGGTTTTGGCTTTCTTATGCAGGGTTTGTGGTTAACATCATTGATCAGACTATGCTTTCTAATTTAAAAAAATTGAGCAGTGTTGCTATTCTTTGAGTACTTTTACTCTCACCTGGAAAACTACTTGGAAGTTGTCAGGCATTTGTCTACTGGTAGGGGAAGTTACAGCTGAACGTGAAGCATATACTGTACTTTTAAATTCATATGCAAGTATACTTTGAATCATATACGTGATCGATATCCAAAAATATTTAAGACACTCTTTGAAGATAGTTACTTTGAAATTAGTTACCCTAAATTTCATACCTTAATACATGTACATAATTATGACATCACTTCCTTTTAAAATTGTGCAGCTAAAGAATGTTACTGGTGTTTTAATGTGGTAGATTAATGTTACTTCTAGTGAGTTGAGAATAAGAGTACTGTCCCTGTAATTAGTACTTGGTTCCTTATGCCATCAGTGTTTTTATTGCACAAAGTATAGTGTTTAGGGAATACTACGAAAATCACCTTTGCAGCCTGAGCCACAGAAGAGGAAATCAGTTTGCAGGTCAAGTAAACTTTGGTCTGAGAATTACTTTAGGATCTGGAAGGAATAAGTGCAAGTTTAGGTAAATCTGGTAACATCCTGTTTTTGGAAGTAGTGCAGTGGTTAATAGTGGTTATGTAAGTTTGTATTCCTTTAATTTGAAGTTAATGCCTAAGTCTAATGTTACACTTTATCACTTTTTTGAAGATTAAAAATTTATTTAAAAAATGTGATTATAAAAACATTCGATATTTGTACAATTTCTAAGTATTTCAAACAAAGTTTTAGTGATGGACATACAAGTATACTACACTTTTTATCTGAATAATTTGCAGCTTGGGGGTAACTTCAGTAACATTTGAAAACGGGACTGTGTGCACACAGAGTTCAGTGTGTTCTCTAGGGCACCACGTTTGCACTTAATAATTGAGCGAGTTTATTAAATTCATCTCTAAATCGTCTCCCTTTGAGCCAGATTTATTTTTATAACCTGAGGTGTGGGTAAATCCTACAATTTTCATTGGCGCTTTAGTAGGTATTCTAAAAGGCTGGGGATGATTGGAAATGGCATAATGCAGTTACTTGTGTAGTACAACAGGCAGTTTAACTGGCAGCCATTTTACGACGCTGATAATATATTAAAAAACGGGATTTTGGAGAAGTCTGAATCTAAACTAACTGAAACCTGAAATACCAAAACCTATTTCCTTCCCCTTCTCTCCCCTTCTGGGGAGCTCTGGTGCCGAAATAAAAGGCAGCTTGATAGCGCACGCAGCAGCTCTGTGAGCCCCCCTGGCATCTTGGTGCAGGTCCAGCTCAGTCACAAAATGGCTGTTCCTTTGTGCCGCAGCGCTGACAGACATACTGCATTGCACTGTGTACTCGCCAAACAGCAGGAAGTTGCCGTGCCGAGTTCAAAGGCCGGCCGGCGCCGGCGCCGAGTGCTGATTGGCTGTGCGCGCGCCTGGTAACAGCAGGGTCAACGGCGGCGCCTTCGGGCAGGCCCCGCCCCGTGACGTCAGACGGCTGCCTGAACGCAGTGACGTCCGGCCGCGTGCGCGCGTCGCGCCTTTTCTCCTCCTCCTGCCCAGGGAGCCGCGCGCCGAGGGGAAAAGGAAGGGAACTCTAGTTGGGACTTTCCGGTGGGCGGCTTCTTTTCCTGGACGCGTTTGCTCCTGATAGTCCAGTCCGCACCCTGTAGCATGTGTACTTTTGTCCATTGCCAGGAATTGTTTATCTTCTTTTAGAAGCGGCTACTTTTGGAGAAAAAGTATAGGCACTGTTTGGAAATCTTAAAATGGAAAATTTGCCTCGTTTTACATTTTTCGTTTTCCCTTTTAATGTCTTAGCGTCCTTCCTCCCCGTCCCCGTGCAGTGTGAGGAGATTAGTGCTTTTCATTTTGTTACTATTGACCAAAACGTTTGAGTGTCAGAGGCGGTTACTTTGATTTTAGTGAAAACCTCTTGACGGTGTTAACAGCTGCTTAATACATGGCTCACAAACAAAGGGAAGATTATTCCAACTTGGCCCCGTGTATTCTTACTTGGTACCGTACATTATCTCAGTTGGCATTTGATGGAGAAAAAACTCAGGTCAGTATGTGCTAAGTGCTTTATGTCTTAGATTCACAGTGGGATAGTTTAGTAGAAAATAGAAAATTTCACTTTTAATAACACTAAAAAGTGGCAGAATGCAGCGTTAGGCAACCATTACTATGTAAGTACATGTCAAAAAACTAGTGAAGTGTTGGTAGCTCTTGATAATGCAAGGTGACTACTGGCAGCTTGGGTGATTGTGGGGTCGAAGGCTAAATCTTGACAAATACCTTCCCTAGGCCTCCATTTCGGGAATTCTGTTTGAGTCCTGGGAAACCGGTTGGGTTTATGCTCACTGGTTTGCCTTGTTTGGAAACCTTTGCAAGGATTTCTGGTTAAAACTTATTGTCAGCAACGATGTCTTAATAATTCAGTTACACATACCGAATTTAAACAAGCATGAAAGGCTGTTAGTGGATTTATCTGCTGTTGACAAAGTATTTTTCCTACCTTACTAGAGTTTTTTTTAGCAGTTGAAAGGAGTAGGCTGTCTTGTAGTTAGCCATAGTTCAGAGTTATTAGTTGAGTAAAATATGTTATTTCAAAGGAGATGTTGACCTCTTCAGTGCAGCTGATACTTGCTTGGGCATATATCAAGTTTTGGAATACAGTGTGTGAAAGTTAAAATTCACTATATGGTAATGGGTTTTGTAGGTTCTCATAATCTAGGTTCTTTGGGAAGAATTATTTGGATAGTTGATGAAAACTAGCTGAAATTGGATTTTCCGTTAGAGGGGTTCATCAAAGAATTTGTAACTGATTTTAAAATAATACGCTCAAATGTATATTGGTTATAAAAAACTAAACACTTTTTAAGTACTTGTAGAACTTGATGGACATTTAACTGTTGTTTCCAACTTAGAGTATATCTACCACAGAAACACAGGTAGTAATCTCAACTCCCTTTCTGTGTAGACCGAATTCTAATTAGTTGTGTTAATCTTTTAATATTTGCTCAATGCCCTTCAATTCCTAAAACTGGGGTCAAAGTGTTCACACTGGAGTTACTTATTTTTAGA